AAAACAAGGTGAAGGTGGACAGTGGCTAAGAAACAACACTCAGAGTTGATCTCTGATATCCACACACTCACACGTGTGTGTGCACACACACATAAATAATACATCTAATTAACTGATTAAATAAATACACAGAAACTTCAGAGATGCTCTCTTGGCCCTTCCAAATTTTGTATGCTAAAATCCTAACCCCAACACCTCACAATGTGACTGTCTAGAGATGGGATTTTAAAAGAGATGACCGATGACTTGATAAGAGGGAGCCATTATGGGGTTAGAGAGAAATCTGTTGCTAGGGTAACTCCCAGGGATCTACAAGGATGACCCCAGTTAAGACTCCTAGCAATAGTGGAGAGGGTGCCTGAACTGGCCTTCCCCTGTAATCAGATTGACAACTACCTTAATTGTCATCATAGAACCTTCATTCAGTAACTGATGGAAGCAGAGGCAGAGATCCACAGCCAACCACTGGGCTGAGCTCCCAGAGTCCAGTCAAAGAGCGGGAGGGAGGATTACATGAGCAAAGGGGTCAAGATCATGATGGGGAAACCCACAGAGATAGTTGACCCAAGCTAGTGGGAGCTCACTGACTTTGGACTGATAGCTGGGGAACCTGCATAGGACCTAACTTGGCCCTCTGAACATGGGTGACAGTTCTGTGGCTTGGGCAGTCTGTGGGGACACTAGCAGTGGGACCAAGATTTATTCCCAGTGCATAAACTGTCTTTTTTGGAGTCCATTGTCTATGAAGGGATACCTTGCTCAGCCTAGATACAGGGGGGAGGGGCTTAATCTTGCCCCAACTTTAAGACTTTGTTGACTCCCCATGAGAGACCTTACCCTTTCTCAGGAGTGGTAGATGGGGGATTGGGTGGGGTAAAGATGAGAGGGGAGGGAGGAGGGAAGGGAGAGGGAACTGTAGTAGGTATATAAAATGAAGAAAAAAAAACTTTAAAAAAAATGATGGCTAAAAAAATAATAATAATAAATAAAAAGAATGATGGCTAAATTACCGCAGTACCAAAGGAGCCATGGACCAAACTGAGTGGTGTCCTTGTAAGAGGAAATCTGAACACCTAGAGACACCAGGAAGAATCACCTACACAGAAGAGGACCACATGAGGAATCGGAGAGAACATGGCAATCCAACAGCCCAACAGCAAAGGCATGGGGACACTGGGCATCTGGACCTCCAGCCTCCAAGGAAGGAAAAAATAAATAAATAAATCCTCGCTGTTTCAGTCACCTGGCCTAGAGAAGTTTGTTACCAAAACAAGCTGATACAAACATGCAGACAGGTAACCAAGAGGTCCCCTTGCAAAGCTGCATCCTTCCCTGACCAGGGAACCATAAAAGTTCACCCTACATTCCAGACTTTTCTAGTGGCACAACCATGTCCCTATCAGGAAGGAACCAGCCACGGCTGCAGAGGCTCCCATCGGCACAGATAAATGTCAACGATACGCCAGCCCAAAGTGCACCTCACAGGGGGAGGCGGGAGCCCATATCTCAACCCTCAAGGAAACATTAGGAAGAGTGAGCTGGGACAGCTGAGGGTGAGGACCATGTCTCACTTCCCTGTAGCTCCAATCAGGCTTCCCCATGGTACCAGCTTTACCCCATGCCCTTGTGAGCAGCACACACTAAGGCACGCTTTCTCTCTCTTTCTTTGCAAATTAAAATAAGGCATGCTAGTGGTGGAAAAAAAATCTACAAAAGAGAAAGGTATTAGCAAACCACCCTCTGGTTGTCAAAGCTTGCCCTTGTGACATGTCACTTCGGACATTAATCATGTGTGGTTCCTGGAAGGAACTCCTGCCCACCGAAAACTGCAGCACGAGAGTGATGGGCCTGTTCCTCTCAGTTCTCACTAACACCATCTTCTTGACCATCACAGTGAGAAGCTATAGACCGTGACTGGGGACTCCCTTAAATCCAGAAGGAAGCTGATCTCCCACACTCCCACCAAGAGCCTGCTCAGGAGAGACTAAGGCCAAGTTTTCGCAGGCAGGAGAAAACCACAGAAAGCCACAGAGAGCCGCGGCAACTGCTGCTGCTTCTTCCCACTGCAGCCTCGTACTTCGTCTCCCTAAGATGTCAGACACCCAAAGAGAGGAGGGAGGGAAGGAGAGAGCTTGTGTCTTCTGAGGGTAAGTGGGCCAAGACAGAAGCAAGCTGAAAAGAGCAGGCAGCACCAACACAGGCACTGTTAACCATTTGTTTTTCCAGAAACCCGAAAACAAGATTCCATTCCTAGGCACACACACACATGCATGGGAAAGTCAAAGGCTTGCTGGGCTTCTCCTCCTCCCCTCTGCTCCTCCAGAGCCATCTCCTGCCCACTCTGAGTCCTCGGTAAGATTCCATGAATAAAAAACTGAAGCGGCTTCAGCTGAATGTACACCACTCATCCCCCCCCACCTCAAAAGTGGTTGGCTCCCAAATTCCAGGAGCAGTCAGCTTTCAGGGAATCAAGTCTTGCTGCCCTGGGAAGGTTCATTCCCTGCCTGCGCTCAATCGATACCATAGAACCACAGGGACTCCATATCAAACCCCATTAATTCACACTCCACATGGCACCTGCGGAAGGGCCAAGCTGTAGCCCTTTTCAGGTCGGGGAAGCAAATTACCAGTGCCACAGAGGGAAACCTTTAGCTGGCCTCGCAGCGCAGGGCAGCGGGCTGTCTCTGAGCATGACTCCGTGGACATCTGTATGCAGGAGCGGGGGGCAATTAGAAACAAAGCCTGCCTATCTATGAGACCTTCTGAGACGTGTTCGCTCCCCTTCTCACATTAACCGTGGCAACTAATTTTTTCTCCAGTGCCCCAGAACAGATGTTTACTGAGTCTTCTGCCAACGGGCGAGGTCTGATTCCTGACGGTTGGGTGTCTCTTATCTCAACCCTTCCCCAACCCCACCCCATAACATTGAGCCTCCTCTCCACAGCCATTTCTGATTTTCTTTATTATCTATCCAGAGCTCAACCCAGGGAACAACTGTGTCCTTATCTAAAGCATATATGAAAACAAACGGGAACCGAAGGTTGACGACAACAACAACAGAGCCCGCAGCCCAGTGCAAACTGGCCAGCAACTATTTACACTGCCCAGAGAACGCCCCTCTGCTCAGGCAGCTGCTCAAACACACCTGGTACTAAGCCTGGTGTCCACCAGGCCCATCTCTCCCGAGGTCCCAGGAATGAAGACCAATCATGACAGGAAGGGCTCTGAATGAGAGACTGGCTTAGGAGCCTGGGTAGCCCCAGTGAGAGAGAAGAATGAGAAGCAGGTGCAGGCTGTATGGAGCCACGGGGCCAGCCACTGAGACACTCGGAGCCACGGAGCCACGTAAATCCCCTGCCTGGGAGTTCAGGCCACTGTATTCACAACCTTCCACTAAGAAGTTCACACATAGCTAGATGGGCTTCAGAGCAGAAAAAGCAGCTCCCCGTGACAGCCTCTAAAAGCCACCAGTAGTCACATCCGACAGCAAGGACGCCAAACATCCAGGGGGCAAAAACAGGCACCGTCATTCAAGCCTCCCGTGATGAGAAAACAGCTGACAGATGGTGTTTCCTTGGGATATTATCACAGTCGTCCACGCAGCCATCACATCCAACTGGTTCAGGCAATGTGCTTAAATGTGTCTCCTCCGCAAGTGACAGAAGCCTCATGATGGCCCCGGGGCCCAGCAGTCTAGGTCCCATGAGGTCACGCTTTCCTTTCTCTAGCTGGTAATTTAAGGCGAGACAGGAGAAGGCTTAGGCATGGCTGTTCAGGCCTGAAATCCTAGCACCTGGGAGCTGAAGTGGGAGATTGGGAGTTCAAGGCTACCCTGGGCTATGTAGAGAGAACCTGGAAAGAGAGAGAGAGAGAGAGAGAGAGAGAGAGAGAGAGAGAGAGAGAGAGAGGGAGGGAGGGAGGGAGGGAGGGAGGGAGGGAGGGAGGGAGGGAGGGAGGGAGGGAGGAAAAGAGGAAAGGAGAGAAAGAAGAAGGTAGGCAGAGAAAAGGGGGGGTGGAGAATGACTAGAGGGGAGAGGGAGGGGTGGAGAGGGAGTACACACACAAGAGGTCTCACCAACATCCTGGAGCATATATCCCCTAACTCCAGCCGCGCCACAATCTAACAGAAGAAACAATCTCAGTTTCTTCCTCTCCCTCTTCCCTTTCTGTGTGATCAGGGAACCCGGGCGCCAACTTGGAGGTACTTCTGCCCACCTCTAAGACCTGTTGGGTATGAATGTGGTAAGAGAACCACACGCATCCCACCCTGTGACTGGCATCAACCTCCCCCGCTGCCAATACACCGTGGTAACAAGAGTTTAGCCGAAGGCCTCTTCCAGCTGCCATCAGACAAGCCTGGAGTTGGCTCTCTGCTTGGCCAAGTAGGTCACGCCAGAAAGTGATGCCCAGACCAAGCCCAGATCACCTCCTGATTTCCACACAGAAGTCAATAGCTCTAATTCTCCCCGACACCGATGCTTTTGTTGTTTATTCCTCCCACGTGGTAGGGAGGAGATCAGGAGCTAAAAGGCATGTGGTCCATAAACATTAGAAGTGAACCTCAACCTCCCAGCCACTCCTGTGCACCTGTGCAGATGTGATGAACTAGTAAATGTCTGTCACTGTCCTTGGGGGTGCTGTCACCTCCCTGATGAGCTCATCGGCTCCTGAGGCCCAAACCAGGACCATAAGGCCCTCCCTTCCCCCAGTTCCTGTTGCTCATGTATACATACATGTAACACACCACATCAGGTACAACTTACATATCTGACAATCTGAACTTAGCAAGATGTGGCTGGGCTGTGATGGATGCGTCGTGTTAATGAGCAAGCACATTCTTTAAGGAAGGAATCGCCACTCACTCCCAATACTATCTTGTCTGTGAAGAATCTACCATGCTACCTGAGGTATGAATGGATCCAGCAAGGCAAAACAAACAGATGTACTGCCCGGAGCCGAATGGCTCCTGACGTGACAGCTCAGGGGATCATGATACTCACCAAGTGCGGCATCAGGAGATCAGCCAGGTAGACGAAAGCAGCCCCCAGAGTGAAGCCAACAGCCACGGGGAAGAAGGCAAAGGCGCCAAAGCCCCCTGAGGACGTGGCCATCTCAACCGCTGGTGCTAGCAGGGACCAATACGAAGCCGCTAACATGACCTGCAGAAACCACAGGGAGCAAGTCATTGACCAATTGCCTTAGTGAGGGCGTCTACTGCTGCGACTGAACACCATGACCAAAACGCAAGCTGGGGAGGAAATGGTGGCTTATACTTCCACACTGTAGTTCATCACTGAGGGAAGTCAGGAGAGAAACTCAAACAGGGCAGGAACCTGGAGACAGGATATAATGCAGAGGCCACGGAGGAGTGCTGCTTACTGGCTTGCTCCTCATGGCTTTCTCAGCCTGCTTTCTTATAGAACCCAGGACCACCAGTCCAGAGATGGCACGGCCCATATGGACTGGACCTTCCCCTACTGATCACTAATTGAGAAAATGCCTTATAGCTGGATCTCATGGAGGCATTTCCTCAACTGAGGTTCATTCCTTTCTGATGACTCTAACTTGTGTCAAGCTGACATGCAAATTCAGCCAGTACACCAACCCATAAAGGCTTTTTGGGGTGGGGGACCCTATAAGGTGGAGACCCTATAGAGGGAGTCTCATTAACCAACCCATAAGGCTTCCAAGGAAAACCAATCTATAATGCCTTCTGAGGAGTGGGGAACCAAACTAGAAAGTCTTGGGGTGGGGGCAACCCATAAGGCCTTGGGAGTAGGAGGAACCAATGCATAAGGCCTTCCAGGAGGACCTCACTATTATCTATGTCATAATAATATGGTGGTAGCTACTATCTCAACCAAAAGACTACCCCCCAAAATTCCAAAAGTTCCCCCCAGAATTCATGTTTTATGAACCTAACTTAACAAAGGTGAAGCCACCGTAGGTGTCCCATGCTCTTGTAAATAGCCCCTCACTCACGTTCCTGCAAGCATGGGCCCATTGGGTCAACAACAGCAAAGGCATGAAAATGGAGGCAGGCTAGCTGAGGAGAGGAAAGGGATCAGCAGGAATGGGAAGGGCCATAGAGGACAAGGGGAATGAAAATGATTAAAATATGTAGCATATTTTATGAGACGGTCATCATGAGACCCATTGGTATGTATAATGTAATTAATGCATGCTAATAAGGATAAATAAAAATAAAGATAGTTTGGTACAGGACAGTGTTGATCTGAATGGATGGACTCCAGTTTGCTGCTATCTAGCCTCTGGCATAGGAGTTTTTATCCAAGAGTGATTTACTCCATGGGACAGGTGACAATGTCAAGCAAGAGCCACTGAGGGTAGGACAGAAGGGCTATATCTCATGATAAACATCCTACAATATGCATGACAGAGCCCCTGACAACCAAGAGACATCTGGCTCCAGATGTGAGTCCTAAGGCTGCTGAGAAGTGCTGTTCTAATTTAAAGCTCCCAACACAAACTGCTCCAAACTACATAGGCTCCCGTGCATGAGATCATGGCTGGTTATTAGAGAGATCTTCTTTGTGTTGAACTGACATGTGTCTCCTCTTCATGTTTGCCTCTTCATCTCTTTTCCTGCTCTCTGGCACATCAAAAACGGTGCCATGCGACAGCATTTGAAATGTCTGAAGATGCCAGTATGTCAATGTCAGACGGGTCTCTTCAGTGTCCTCGTCTCTAAAAATGAAGAGGGAAGCTAATATCTATTGATCAGCAGCCATTTCCAGCCACCAAGGTTGACATTTGAGATCTTGTCTTCATATCACAGCCCCAGGAGGAGAATGTTTTCCGTTGTTATTTGTGGAACAAGAAACTGAATCTCAGGCTGGGGATATGGGCTCAGTCAGGAAACTGTTTCCTAGGTAAGCATCAGGACCTACGTATAATCCTCTAGAGTCTGTGCTGAAAACGCTGAGTGTGGCAGCCCGTGCTTGCAGTCCCAGCTCTGGGAATGTGGAGACCGTGGATCCCTGGGGGTTGATGACCAGCCAGTGTAGATTAGCCAGCTCCAGGTTTCCTAGCTCAATAAGCATAGTGGATATTCTTAACCAGCCAGTGTAGACGGATTAGCCAGCTCCAGGTTTCCTATCTCAATAAGCATAGTGGGTGTTCTTAACCAGCCAGTGTAGAGGGATTAGCCAGCTCCAGCTTCCATGAGAGTCCCTATCTCAGCAAACATAGCGACGCCCTTGAGTAACACCACCAGAGTTGATCTCCGGCCTCCACATGAGCACACACACATGTAGATGTCCTCCCACTTTCACAGCTACCCTTGGTTGTCACCTTGACACACCTGGAAGAGGGAACCTCCACTGAGGAACAGCCACCCTCAGAATGGCCTACGGGTATATGTCTGCGTGGCATTTTCTCGGTTGATATGAGATGGCCCAGTCCACTGTGGGCAGTGCCATGCCTGGGCAGGTAGTTCTGGGCTGTATAAGAACGTAAGCCTTGGAACAAGCCAGTAAGCAGTGTTCCCCCATTGTCGGATTTCCTGCTCCCAGGTTCCTGTCTTGAGTTTCTGCCCTGATCTCCCTCTGTGATGGGCTGTGACCTAAGATAAGATAAAGTTGTAAGATTAAAATAAACCCTTTTCATCTCCAAGTTGCTTTTGGTCAGTGTTTTCTCACACCAACAGAAAAGCACACCGGGCCACTCCCACACACAAACACACGCACATTAAATATGAAAAGAAACTGAATCTTAAATACTAAGCCGATTCGCTCCTTTTCGCCCAGGCAGTAAGTGCCGGTTGCAGGGCACAAACCAAGCTGTACCACAAGCAATTCAATGACTAGAAGGAAAAAATGAGGCCGGTCTCAGAGGTCAACAAGCTCAATTTGACAACCCGTTCTCCAGAGTTGACCAAATTAACTAATCGCCTGTGACTTTTTAATCTTACACATGCTGTGACATCTTCATGGCGAGAGTACACCCACCGCCTGTCGTAACAGTCACAGACGACATATAAAATGCCGAATGGATTTCTAAAATTTACTTAATTATGCCACGTCACCCATCTCTGAAATAACACAGTGACAGAACCAGGCATTAGGGCAGCGGGAAGAAAGAACAGGCAATGCAGGAAGCCGTGGTGTCCCTTCTCCCAGGGACTGCTCATACCAAGTCACTTGCCCTGAAAATGATTTTCCAGCAAAGGTCTTAACGGCACCCACGGAAATCTGCCTCAGCCTCTGAAGCGCCCAGGAAGGATGAAAGGTGCCATCTTAACTGGATGGGAGCAAAGACTGAACAGTTTGATGCCTTGAGTCCAGGCTGTCGTAAAAGACAACAGAAGGATTTAAGGACTCCCCACCCAGACTTCACTCCACTGGCTTTAGATTCCCACAGCCCGTGTAAAGCTCACCACCTGCAGAGTGACAGACTTGGAAACTTTCTCATTCTCTTCTGTGAACTTGACCCAATCAGTAACGTGTCCCCAACACAGCCCTCCCGCTTCAACAATTTCAAAACCCTAAGACCCATGGAACCCACTCATCTTCTAAGACTGCTCTACATACAGGGAGGAGATGAAGCAACTCCACCAGCATCACCTGAACTACTTCCCCAGCCTCTTAGTTCCTTCCCGTCTCAACACCTACTCCAACACCTCCTGTTGCAATGTCCATCTTCTGCATCGCTGGGTACCAAACCTGTTTCCTGCCTGTGATAGCTAATCTTGGTTGTCAGTTTGACTGGGTCTGGAATCAACTAAAAGACAAGCTCCTTAGCCGTGGGAGATTTCCTGGCTTATATTATCAGAAGAGGAAAGATCTATCCTAGATATCGGTGGCACCTCCCAATAGCAGCCCGGATAAAAAGAGATAGCGGAAAAGCCTTTGCTTTATGCCCGCTTGCCTTCCCTCTGCTGCTGAATTCATTTGTCCTGTTGCTGAAGCATTCCTTCACCAACCTCAGAACCAACTTCCCCAGGCTTCCAGTGCAGACTGAATAGCAGAAGCTCTCCAGGAACCCTCGAGGCCTTCAGCACCGGACTGGGGCTGCTGAGATATCCAGCCACCTAGACCGAAGAACCTCTGGACTCTTAGCCTATCTAGCCATTGTTGGACTAGCTAGACTGTATCAGGTCAGACAACCTAATAAATCCACTTTAATATATATTTATCTTATTGATTCTGTCCTCTAGAACCTCTAGAGGATCACCACAACTAATACATGTCACTATACATGAGAAACATGCCAAGCTCCCACAAATACGTTGTTCAATATGGAGCAGAGAGGCATGCCCCTGCTAAGGTGTGGACTGGTCTGAATGAAAATGGCTCCGACAGACTCAGGGAGTAGCATTATTGGAGCTGTCACCCTACTGAAGTAAGTGTGGCCTTGTTGGGGGAAGTATGTCACACGGAGTGGGCTCTGAGGTTTCAGATGCTCAAGCCAAGACCAGTGTCTTTCTCTTCCTGGTGACTGCTGATCCAGATGTAGAACTCTCAGCTGCCTCTCCAGCACCATGTCAGCTCGCATACTGCCATGTTTTTTACCATGATGACAATGGACTAAACCTCTGAACTGTAAGCCAGCCCCGATTAACGTTTTCCTTTCTAAGGGTGGCTGTGGTTGTGGTGTCTCTTCACGATAGAACATTGACTAAGATAGAGGTGATGATGAACTCTGGGATGCTTGGATGGAGGAACATCCAAGTCAACACAGGTGGACCTCCCCACGGAAATTGCTGTTCTTCGCCCTTCTAGACAAATCTAGATCCACTGTGGAATTTCTTCATTTTTTTAATTTTATTTCCTTGCCAGCCTCCTGTTTTACACATGAACTGAGAAGTGGCAAAAGAATAATTTATACAGTGCACTGGGCTCCTGTCTAAACTGAGTGGGGCCAAAGAAAAGATATTTCAAGGGCATGTGTGGGGGAGAAGATGCCCCTGTGCTCATGGTCAAACCTGTGACTTTCTTATTTTCTGGGTCAGAAGAAATTCTACCACACTTAGAGATGACATCAGAGCAGGGCCGGTATCGTGCCAAGGATCTTCACAAGGGTGTGTAAAGAAGGCCCTTGGAGAGGAGAGACGGCACCAAACCAGAGTCTTGACTTTATGAAATACACAAATATAGACATCACACAGACAGAGAACATCACTATCTGGTAGTGGCGG